CTCCGGGGTTCACCTCGAAAAATATTATTAACTGTGACAACAAAAGTACCATAAAATGAAGTTGAAATGATTATGAGTCCCCTGCACTATGTTCTAATGACCTTTTAATGAATAATCCAATAATTTCTAATTTAATACTGGAAAGTTGTGGTAGAACGTTTTCCGAACAGAATTAAATTGAAAATGGTTAATTTTGATCAACGTAGTAATATGTTTTGGTGATTTATTGAAAAAAAATATGATATTGTCATTCATTAAATTACATTTATAAACCAGAAAGTCATTTTTTAAAGTCAAGAATTCTCTTTTTTCTTTTTCAAATTTCTGTAAAAAAACCCGGACCATTTGTTTAAAAACCCGGACGATTTCACAGTTGCTTTCGAAAAAACCCGGACAATAACAAATACTGAATTTTAATGGTTAAATACAAGGAAATTGTGCTTCTTTGTTACTCAAAACATGTATAGTATTCAAAATAAGATGGGTAGTCATGTAAAAGGCTATTTTAAATACGAATTAGCAGTTAATTGACCTAATCGCATGTTTTTTCACTCGAAAAAGCCCGATCTACACTCGAAAAAAAATGGACAGATTCACTCGAAAAACCACGATCCTAGCCGGACACTATACCTACCGTGTTTTTATATTCTTTTTTTTAAATTGTTGAATATGATTCATTTATGATTATGCTTTGTTGCTACTCTTGATTTGTGTCAGATTGCTTCCTGTGCTTGTAATCACTTAACTTAACTTAGATTTACTTGCAGTATGGGTCCCTGCTCATTCTTGAATTCCATATGGAAACCTTAAGTTGTTTACATTTGTACATTAAATTCTATTGAATTGTTATTGGCCATGGTATTGTATAATTGGCAATCCTACCGTATATGTTCCTTTCATAAAAAAAGGCCTCGGTCAATTTTAAGTTCTTTATAGTCAAATTGATTCATTGTTCATTATTTTCACTCATATTTAGTGCTGACTATGGGTTTTTATTTAAGTTAATAATGCATTTATCTACTCAATATTTTTTTCTATATCTGTTAGAATACAGATTGGACCCACTTTGGATTCGATCCTGGGAATTATCTTTACTTTTAGGTCTTTATAGTTTTTGGAACCCCTAAAATATTGTCCTAAAAATTACTGAAGAGATATTATAGTTTGTCGAAATGTGCACCAATAGAAGAAGAGATCTACAAAAGTGTAGTTATCAACTCGAAAATACATTTAGAGATTATTTCATCAACAGATACACAGAGTTGTTGTCAACATCATGATTTGATCACACCACTGATATATGCCTAACGTTTGCGAGTAGTCAATTTGAATGTGGCATTCATTTGTAAGAATTGGCATTATATTAGTCTGACAGTTAGATTGCAGTTACATTTTTAAATTCCATTTTAAATTTACCTGAAGGAGATAATTTAACATTCAAATGCTAATGCTAGGTTGTTTAATGTCGGGCATTGAAATAAGAATTACTATCGCTTTATCACACATGTACAATTAAAAAAATATTATAGTATATGATGATATTGCAACCGGAAATTTTGTAACAAGGTAGTGGAGAGGGAGGACGAAATAGATAACAAGTTTAGCGGGTTGTCCTGCATTTGAACCATTTCTAACGATTTGATGAGGTTTAACTCTTATGAATGCTTCTGATGCTGCATTAGTTAATTATGTCAACAAGTACCATACAAAATCACGATTCTGTTTTATATTAATAAAATAATAGCATTTCATTGTACCCAGCCGTTGTACATATTTTGTCTGCCCAGAACAATAAACTAAAAAAAAATGTTTGGTTCTTTTAAACTTTTTCATTAATATCCTAGACATAAGATCGATAACTATTTATTTTAATTATAATTTATATTTCCAAGTGGCATAGCTTCTATAAAAATAGTTGGTCAACATTCTTCGTTGGCCTTACGGATATAAACCTTTGAAATGAATTTCGCAAAAATCCGACAAGAAATGGAGGTATGTTTGTGTATACTTACAGTACAATGTTAAAAATCAATTACATTCCAGAGGAACACAACTCCTGTAAAAATACTTGATCAGCGCTGATTTTTGAATTCGTCCCAAACATTACTGGTATATACATTCGATATAAATTTCTTAACAATTCTTCAAGCAATGTAAGTGTAAGAGTGCTAACAATGGAATTTTCCAAATAATTAAATTTCCTAGGGTCATAACTCCTGTAAAAATATTTGATCGGCACTGATTTTCGAACCCCAGACATTGCTAATATAAACTTTGATCTAAATAACATCAAAATCTGGCAGAAATTATACAATTGAGAATACTAACAATGATTACAATAATACATATATATCATTTCCATTTCCAAAGGACATAACTCATGTGAAAATAATTGATGAGCGCTGATTTTGAAACTCGTACAAGTCATAAATGATTGCTTATATAAACCTTTCATAAAATTTGAAAAGAATCCCACACGAAATGTAGACAAGAGAGAACTTACAAATGCAATTTTCCATATAATTTATATTTCCAAAGGGCATAACTCCTTTAAAAATAGTTGTATGGCTCTAATTTTCTATCTCGTCCGAGACATTCCTCTTATAAACCTTTGATATAGATTTAATAAAAATCTAACTAGAATTGTTCACGTGAGAGCGCACAGATGGACAGACGGACACACGGATGGACTGACGCCTTGTTTTTCTATGTCTCTCGCACTGCGTTTCTCGGGGGACAACAATTGTGCACCTGGTACCTGAAAAGTTCGAGGTAGGTCGTCTAAAATTGTTTGCAGGCCTTAAATTCGACAGTTTTCCCTCTTTTTTTAGATAAATTTCAAGAACATGATAGTGTGACTTCATATTCCCTGAAATTCTTGAACAAAAAAATGATTTTTGGATGGATATGGATCAAAACAATTTATGTTTATTGCACGTCGATGCATGTCGTTTTGTGGAGTAACAACTTGTTTTCTAGACAGCATTTTTGCAATTAACTGTAAGCCAAAAATGTTCGGGGTAGTCTATGAACGGTGTGCATGGCTCCTCTTTTTGTTGAATGAAAATAAGAAAAAATCATTATGTTTGAATGATACAAGAGACACATGCATGGTTATGCATCCACTGGTTGTTATTTCATCAAGTGGGACAGCTGCAGTTTTAGAGGCTCGTAGGAGGATAATTTTGACTTTTGTTTTAAAACCAAAGCTATAACAAGTTGTTCGATAGAGATGGCTTGAATAAATGAAAATCTTAACTTGTTTATTGAGTCTCCCAAACGTAGTTGTTTGCTCAGGTCTTATAATGGGATACTTATTGTGTTGATTCCGGCTATTAATAAGTCACCCAAACCGAAAAATTAGTGTGCTTTTCCCGTTTTCTTAATTCTGAACTTGACAGTTTTCTTAGAAATTATTAAGGATTGAAACTTTATATAGGTATTGTGTTGGTTCAGCATCACTAGATGTGCGTTTAATATTTTGTATTAAAACAATGGAGTACTTTTTTTTATAATTTGAGGGTCCAATAAAGGGATGGGTAATAACAAAATTATATCTATTACATGGCAGTATAGAAGCTTCATGTCTGAAGGACACAAGATACAAAAGCTCGGTCATGCATTTACTTATTTTTATTCAATCAAGAGGCCCAGTTGCATTTTTACAGAAACTCAAAGGAGAATATTTTTGGCTTTTCTTTTACATCTCCAAAACTATAGGTGATATAAACTTGATGAGTACCATGTAATGCAAGCAAACTATCCTGGTTTTTTTCTAAATTACTTAGATAAGAGGCCCCTTTGCCAAATTTGGGGTTATCCAAAGAGAGATTTTCATGTTATTAGAACTGCGATCTTCTTTTTGTGCAGATCTTTTTTTAACGAGGGACAGCTTCAGTTACGCCGACTTTTGTGTTAGCAACCTAACACATAAATACTTATTAAGCCAACCCGCATCTGACGTTGTTTATACTACAGGTTTGATCTACCCAAATATTTTGGCACATAGTTTTTTTTTAGAAAGGACGTCAAATAAGTATATTACTATAAATACGCCATACATAATGAGAGCATGTTGTCGTACCGTCAAACTTCAAATAAAGTAAGTTGATATTATGAGTATGGAACAAAATCTTGTCTGAATTTTAGTTGTCTGCAAGGAAAGGAGAAGTTACGGTAAGGGCTAGTTTTGGCCTAAAATTTGAAGTACATCTGATGAAAATTTTTTGACATTTTTGAACGCTTAAGTGTCTATTTCAGTCGATTCAATTAGTTTATGTAGAAGATTTTAACTGATTTTGGTCATTAAAGACGCTCAAATTCAAGCTTTAATATGAAAAATCTATCAAATATGCAATAAAACGTCACTTTTCAGATGTTTTTTGTCTAAAATGTAAGTGGCCGCATTAGTGTTCAGTCTCAACCTTTATATATGCTATGTATTATCATCAAATACAACATATATTTAAATATAAAGACTGAACACAAATGCAGCAACTTCCATTTTAGACAAAAACCATCTTAAAATTAGCACAAATGCTAAAATTATGAAGATTTTAGTAATTTTGCATGAATTTATGATGCTAGTACCTGATGCATGTGTATTGTATTGTCAAAAACAGCCCATATTCATAAAACATAAGTATGCTACTTTCCAATAAATAGCTAAAAGTTTGCATTTCAACAAATTTGTAAAAATGCTATATGTTGGGGCCAAAAAAGGTCTTACCGGGCCTACTCCTTTAAAGCAGCATACAAAAGAAATCATTACCCAAGCATTTAACCTCAGTTTATCGGCAGAAATAGTTTCAGTGTTTGAAAATCTGTTGTTTATTTCTACGTTTAGACGCTGTATTGGTACCAATTTTAGGTGTCGATGGACAATAGAGTAGAATAAATTATTCAAATGTACTACGATATTGATTGGAAAGATGAGAATGCAACTGTCCGCTACTGTGTATAGAATATTTTACTTAATATTATTTTTTTTATTAACATAGGTTTAAAGAAAGTTCCGCTAAGAGGTAGGTATTAAATAAGTTAAAAGATTCCATCTGCATTCCTGCATTTGTGGGCAGCAAAAATAATATATATGCTCATAAAGATCTTTAGAACACTATTTTATTGTATGTACTTCGTCCGAAAATTATCCCAAAAATGTTATATTTACATTCGTAGAAGCAAATGTTTGCTCTTCCCTCGGCAGGACCCATGCTCCTGGGACATGTTGTCAACACCTTCACTGTGTCCATCGCCTAAGACCAATAAAAGAACTATGCTATATGAAAAGATAGTTTTCGTAAGTCGAGTAATGCCTTTCCTTGTTAGCATCATCTATGGTTGTAACAGAGTGCTTGGTGTATTGTGGCATGTGGATGGTATGCCTTGCATGTTAGATATTCGTCGTAATCTTACCATGCAGTCACACAAAATCAATGCCATTTTATTATATAAGTTAAATATATGTGTCAATTTTACGACAGTCTTTCTCAATCGCATAACTTAGGGCTGTACAGGGCTAACATTATAAATTACAAAACATTTACCTGAAATTAGTTCCACAATGTTAGATCTGAAAATTTAACGGTAGCAGAATTTGGGTCTTCCCACAGCGATATTCTAACCCATGCTTGTGTGACATCGTGGCAACATCACAGCACAGTTTCCAGCGGAATAGACTACACGGCCAAATAGTCTATTTATAATTTCAACAATTCGTAATATATATATATGACCTTGATAGTTTAACCGATAACATTAATTATATATAATAATCACAATATAAATGTTGTCATCTGGTAATATTGCGAATGTCCTTTCTTTGTGACAGCTGACAGGGACATTAATGTGAGAATATTTCTCAATATTACGTTCAATTCATGAGAATATCAAAATCAAATTTCACACCCAAGTCTTTGCATCTCTCTCTCTCTCTCTCTCTCTCTCTCTCTCTCTCTCTCTCAAACACACACACTGTATTGCCCCATCCTATATAGAGTTAACTTTAAATGTCTTACAGCTGATGGATACACCACAGAACAAATTTCATTTCTAAATATGCATACAACAGACGAAAAAGGAGTTGATGGCAATATCAAAACTATTGTTCATACTAAAAAACAGTTAAATCCATGGTGGATTGTGGACCTTACCAAGAACTACAAGGTCAAGAAAATCAAAGTACTAAGTAGACCCACAAAGTCTGGTATGTTTTCTTTAAATATTATCAAAAGCGGCTCCGATTGTTCAGTTATTTGATATTTTTGACAAAATACGATGACAGATATTTTACAATAGAAATACAAGAAAACTCATGTAATCAATTAATCAGATTGGTTTATGTTATTGTTACAACGCCATGCTTTTTCATTTGTTGTTTTTTTTAAACATAAGGGGGATAATACAGATGTAGGAAAATACCATACAATTTTTATCCTACCTTAATTTCTTGACTTAACTTAACAAAATTATTATTTACCTGATAAATTCAAACATGAAATTAAAAATATTCATTCTTGTGATACTTCTATCCTTTTGGCCATAAAGAAATACTCAACTTTTTTGTTAAAAAAGATAAACAAAAGCGCTTTTTTTGTAAAAAAAAAAAATAAAGAATATCTTCTTAACAAAAGTATGCTCTGAATTTGTGTAACAGTTCTTAGAAAATATTTTATATCTATTCAATTTCAAGAAAAAAGCGGCGATTTTTTATTAAATAAAATGTCATTTAAACAACAGGTTCCCATGTACTCGTTTTCAAGCTAATTACAAAAATCTTTGGAAAAAATACATCATTTTCCCCAATATTTCACATCTTGTATGCCCTTGCAATAAACCATGTGATGGTTTGAGTACTCAAACAATTGTTGGCATCTGCATTCGCATTGGCTCACCTCATTTCCTTGGAGATTATTTGGCCCTGCCTCCTCAGTCATGATGTATTGACTTTGAAACTTTTGCATAATTTACATGTTAAAGTTTGTGATTAGTCCAGTTTAAGATGAAGCACTTATGACAAGTTGTATGCGCATTTGCACGTCTCATTTTCATTGAGATTATTGGCCCGCTCCCCTCATCATTGGTTTTTAATGTTTTGCATAGCTAAATTGATGCCATTGTCATTTCAACATTTGCATTATACTATCAAAATAACTTACAGGCGAGACATATCTCTATATAAACAGTTTATTCTTGAAACCATACATAATCAGAGACTTGAAAATTAACACCTATCTTGGAATTGCTTTTTTCTCACTCTTGTTTTACACCTTTGATAACTTTCTTTTGCAAAATTTTGATAAAAGGTTACTTATTTGTGTGATCAATTCTAACAGTTTTTTACCCAGATCCATTAAACCACTGATTATGTTGTTGTTATACACTTCCCAGCTTGTTATCCTCTTCCCAGGTTGTAAATTAGTTTCTAACAATATTTTCAGGACAGTATTTTTTTTATATTAAAAAAAAAGAAAAAAGAAGGGATTTTATATTCGCCCATATTTTAATCTTCATTTTCAAACATTATTTCAGCATTAGAAAATGTCTGTGCAGCCAAGTAATTTCCGTCATTGATCCCATTTTACTTACTAATAACTTAACAAATAGAGTAAGACATTTATTTTATGAATAAAGATGTCGTTTTCATAAAGTTTAGATGGAAATTCAAAAAAATAAGGATCTGTAACTGATTTTCTTATTTCAATTTAAATGATTTCATCTCTTTTGTCATTTCAGGTGCTTACAAGGATTTCAAAGAAGTAACAGCTTTAGTTGGAACTGATAAGAGAAATATGAAAGAATGTGGCTTTTTCAAAGGACCAGCAACAAGGTCACAATTGATAACTTTCAATTGTAAAGGGCCAATTAACGGAAAATTTGTCAAGCTACAGATGAAAGGCGTTCGTATTTTGAGTTTTTCTGAGGTTCAAGTTTATGCTATTCATTAAAGTTGAAACATATCTATTGTCTATTCTTGAACATTAATTATAGTTTAGCGATGTTCAAAGTTCGTTATTCCATTTAAAATATTGAAACTACTTGGCGAAAAAACCTTGAGCTAGACATGGTGCGTCAACAAGGTATGCATCTCCTACTATGTACGCCATAAAAATCCCAGACTCTGTCGTAAATGTCTCGATAGGGAATACGACACACTCGGTAAAGAACAAAAGGACAAGGTATGATAAGGCCCCTGTTTTGGCTCCTGAATTCGAAAATCAAAAATCATATTAAATCTGCCAAATTTTACTTCAGATGTGCATAAGACATCAGACTATCAATCAACATTAGTATTCATATTTTGAACCTTGTCTTACATATTTGCATGAAATTTTCAAACTTCTTGCTTTTTGTGAAAAACTGGGGGAAAAAATGCCAAAATATCCTCATTTTGAGTACCTGTCTTCAATATTTTGATATGTGCCACAGCTTTACCCAAAAGGAGTTTGCTACAAGATGTACTTTACCAATATGCAAATATGCTGTTGGCATTATATGTCTATTTTTATCAAAAACTTGATGTAAAATTGCCATTTTAGGTCAAATATGTCAATTTCATCATGATTATGACGTCATAGCGACAGCACAAGTGACATTTCTGCAAAAATACCTCAGATAATATCAGCGTGTTCATCTATCAATAAAATTAAGATAACTTTCCAAGGCTTGAGTGATTTTACTATTTTTGTCATTTTTTGGGGCAAAATAATGGCTCTTAACATACCTCCTGCTTTACAGATCAGAATAACGTAGCTCGAGATGTGTCCTGGCGTTCTTATTTTGGCTCACTCTCTCATTGACGTATACCCCACATCTCCTCTTATTCATATTTAAAAAAATATTTCATAGCATCAGACCATTTTCTATTAATGTATTTTCTTGGAAGGACCTAGAGCACTTGTCTCAGGACTATACAATCTAGAAAAAGCAAAGGTTTCGTGTTTTGTATCATACAAGAGACTTGATCCTATTTATGCATCCAACTTTATTCATTCAAATAATAGATCCACTTGCAGTTTGAGAGGCAAACAGGAGAAATTTTCAGCTTTTGTTTTATATCTTTAAATATCTATATCCAGTTCTGTTCCAAATATTTCAGAGGTCCACTTACAGGATTGAAGGTCTTAACAGGGAAATGATTTTTTCCTAGTTTATAACTCTAAAACATGTGTTTAATGATTGATTATTGACATAATTACTACTACCTGTTTTGTGCCTTCAGAGGCTTTTTTCAATTTGTTAAACAATATAACTAGTTATTCCTGCATCAATTGGACCTAAATTTTAGATATCTTCTTGAAAGACTCTCGACCTGCTTATTTAACAACAAAAAAGTGGAAAAAGATTGTCCCATGCATTAATATCGAACAGTCAAATTTCAAAACGATGCGATTCCAATTTTTGTAAATTTCCCAGAAGCGGATTTAGAGGGTTTTTTAGGGGCCCGGCCCCCCCCCCCCCCCTTTTTGTGGGAAAAATTTGGTTGATTAGATAGGGAATCACTGAAGCATCACTGGAGCGGGCCCCCTCTTAGGCAGTCAGTGCCCCCCCCCCCCCCTCCCCCCCCCCCCGCCCCCCTTATGAAAATTTCTGGATCCGCCACTGTTTCCTAAAAGTCAGTTGTAAAAATGTTTATTTAGAAAATCACCTAGAATATAATATTTTGGCAAACTTCATTGCCTTTACTATTTAAATGATGTGATTCAAATTTTGGTAAAATTCTTTGAATATGAAAATAAGAAGATGTGATATGATTGCCAATTAGACAACATTCCACTAGAGACCAATTGACGTAGAATTTCAGTTCACCGTACAACCTTCAACAATGAGCAAAACCAAAACCGCATAGTAAGCTATAAAAGGCCACGGCATAACAAATGTAAAAATCAATTCAGACGAAAAAACTAACGGTTTGGTTTATGTAAAAAATAAAAGAAGAATGTGTCTGATGACACGAATGTGCCCCCGCTCAAGCATTGCAATATTCCAAGTAAAACAGGGGCATTACTCTAGAACTCTGTCTGCGTGTTGTGGTTCTTAGCATTTAGTATGAGTTTCATAAAATTTGGATGAGGAAAACTTAAGTTATGAAGGAGCATTATTCTAGAACGGTAGGTGACCTTCTGCCCAAATTCGCCAGTTTTGGTTCTTAGCATTGTGTTTAAGTTTCATTAAATTTGCAGGAGGCAAACTTAAGTTAAAGCTGAAAATTGAAAGCTAGTTCAAAGCCAATTACAACTGATAAATCAAGCATCGTCGGTGCTGTGATCCAGCCAATTTGTTTCAACTAATCCGACACTTTTCTGATCTTATTTACAACATTTGTTTATTATACTAACTCCTGAAAAAACATTTCAAGATTGTCATCAAAACTTGTAATAAATAGTTTTGGCTCAAAATGTAAATTTGTGTTATGACACCACATCTTTAAAAAATAAAATTGTGACATATTGTTCAGAAACAATTGAAGGTCTTTCCACCAAAAAAATCACACTTGTTGTATTTAAATTTGGATTTAACTTTAATAAAGATACAAAAAAAATATTATATATATAGGAGAAAAATAATAACTTCCAGTATAAGAAGTAACTGTAAGCATAAGGAGAAAGCTTAGCTTACACTTCTTCCAGAGGCTTCTATATTTTTTTTTAATCGAGATAATTTGCTACTTGTGGTGACATTACGCGGATTCCAAAAAAATCTAGGGTTTCTTTGCATTTTGCTTGAAATAACATAGATACTTTGCTACTCCCGGTTAAAGAAAAATTTCTTCCGGTATCATGAAAGCTTACATTACATTGAATACAAAAATATATTGTTTCTATGTACTTTTGCATGAATTAAGTGCAAAAATTGCTACTTCCGGTTTATATTAAGTCTAGTCCGGTTCATCTTTTTTAAGGGCACACGTCTCTAAATCCGACACCCCAATAGTCCGACAAATCATTGGTCCGACACTCAAATAGTCCGACACCCTATTGGTCCGACACCCTAATAGTCCGACGCCTCATTAGTCCAACAAGGAAATATTTCTAAAAAGTATTTATTGTTTCATTAGA